TTTTTAAACAATACTTAAAACATTAATAAAAAAATGAGTTAAAACTGGACCAAATTCATACAAAAAACAACCAAACAAAAAACTTTTGTTATGAATTTAATTCATTTAATTTTTTTATTTTAATCTTTTTTGATTAAAATGTTTAAAATGTTTAAAAAACCGATTCACAGTTCATTTACAGTGACTTTTCAGTTTGATGTTTTTCTTTTAACGTAAAACTAGTTCAAATTATTGTGTCGACCTGTTTTTGGAGTTACAAGAGCATATTTTTTTTAATTAAATTTGAACAGTAAAAAATAGCTAAAATTACAAGTTTTAGGTGATTTTTGTTTTGATTTTTTAGGTTTTGGTAGTCAATGTAGCTCCAAAAGTAGAATCCGGAAACTTTGCTCATTTTCAGTGTTTTTTTTTTATTATTTTATTTTGAAAAACAGTTAATAGCAAATTATTGCCTTGGTCGGGTTTTTGGGATTACAAGAGAAAAAAAAATGTTTTTTTGAAACAGATTATAAAATAAATTTGTTGTTGGACAGTAAAAAAGATTTTTTTTATTTTTAGCAGTTTAGTAGTTAAAATTTTAAAATTAGAATTAAATGGGTTTATATTTTTTGTTAATTTTGAAGCTTTTTGCGTCGATATTCTACAATTTTTGACTTTTTCTGGATTTATGGTGCCGTTTTTGGGTACTTATTATTGAGCCCAAAATTGAATAGAAATTTGGAAAAACATATTTATTTTTTATTTTACTTGATTTTAGCACTTTTGTCTGAAAGTTGTTGAAGAAAAAGCATTTTTTACTGCTTTTTGGCACTTTTTAGGCGAAATTTAGCCAATTTTTGCTTGATTTTAATTTTTTCCTTGTTTTTTTTTACAAAAATTTATATCGAATTATTATACATATTATTATACAATAAAGAAGATGAAGATTTTTTTGTTTTTTTGCTGCTCTGTTTTTGACCATTTTTGACGTTGTTATACAGTCTTTTTATTTATTATTTTATCTTACGTTTTCGTTGACAGTGTTTTTTACTTTTTTTCTTTCAAATTTTTTTACTCGTTTACCTTGAAAATGTCACAAGGGGTCAAAATCACTTTGAAAAAATGCATTTTTTTTCGTTTTTTTTTTCAGATTTGGACGGTTATTGAAAACAAACAATGGCATTTCAAAACATCAAGTTCGTTTTTAATTTTACGTAATTTTGACAATTTTACTTGAAAATTTTTGAGGAAACAGCAATTTTTTACTACTTTTTTCACTTTTTAGGCTTAATTTATTCAATTTTTCCTTGTTTTTTATATCGGAACTTAATTTTTTAACAATGAAAATGGTTTTTAATGTTTTTACTCTGGTATTTTTGGTCATTTTTTGACCTTATTATAATAATCTCTTTTTTTTGTTTTTTACTTTTTTGTTTTGTTTTTTCTTAGAGCAGTTGTTACACTTTGGTGTCTTTATTGTTGTACTTTACGTTTGTGTTGACACAAAGGGTTAAATTCACTTTGAAAAAATTCGTTTTTCGGATTTTTTTTCCAAAAAAACAAAAATTTTTAGTAAAACGTGACTTTTGAACACAAGGAACAAAATTAACTTTTTTGCGTTGAAAATGTTGGAAACGCAATCTTTGGCACTTCATGTGACTGAAAAAATCTGAAATATAATACATTTTACAGTCATGTTTTTATTACATAATTTAATTTTTCTATTTTGATAAAAAAAATATTTTACGGTGATTTTCAAAGTTTAATGTTTTTATTTTAATGTAATGGTAGTTTCAAATTATTGTTTCAACGGCGTTTTTGGGGTTATCAAAGTAACAATTTGATTTTTTTTTTAAATTTAAAAAATAAATTTGTTAAATAAGAGTTCAAAATCACGTTTTAGGGGATTTTTATTCCGATTTTTCAGGTTTTCCTTTATTTGGTAGTCAATATCGCTTTATGAAAAATTAAAATAGAAAAATTAAATTTCGAAAAAAAATGAAAAACGAGAATTTCGCATTTCTGTACAAACGTTTATATCAAAATTGGGTTTAATATAGTATAAAATTTTTTAGTGTAACTGAAAAATCACAATAAAAAGGAAACTCAAAAGTTAACTAAACAATAGAAAACTGGACTAGAACTTTGAAAAAATAGGAATTTTAACATCTTTAACAAGTTAAAAAAAATTAACACAATACACGCAACAGAAGATTTTTTTTTATTATACCAAATTTTTTATACAAAAAAATTGATTTTTTGATGTTTTCATTTCAATATAATGCTACTTTCAAATTTTTGCCTCGGCGGACTTTAATCTTTTATAACATTTAAAAAAATTGTTGCAAAAATTAAAATTTTCCAACGTAATAAAGTTTCCCTCCCTAGCGGGAATTTCCAATGACCCAAAGCGCTTTGTTTTCTTTTCTCCTAATCGTAATTTCCATTAAAATTTCCTTACTTTTGTCTCGATTTAATAAAACGTGCCTAAAATTCTTATTTAATTTTCCCCCGAGGAAATTTCACAACTCGTTTACACCATGTGGGTTGTTTGTGCAAATCGTAAACACGAAACTAACATTTATTTCCTTGTAATGACGTTTAATTCCGTCCTGAAATATTCCTCTTTCGTTATTTTTCAGGCCTCGCCTTTAATAAACCAAATATTGAAATCCCCGTCCAAATATTTGCTTTCAATTAGACCTTTTTTCTCGTCGAGTTTATTTAAAATGATGGCTTTGGATTAAACCCCGAGCTCCTTTCACGGCGGATTAGCGAACTTAATTACTTATTTAAAGTCTCTTTTCACTTCCTGCGAAACTCATTTAACATTAACCGATCGATGGCTGAAAAAAAATAATGCGGAAAAGTCCCTTTTTCCGCCCTTGTCGATTTTTTCGAGGCAAATGAAGCGTCTAAACCGAGTTAGCTCTCTAACAAGGCTGCATTTCGAGGGGCAGTTCAGCTGCATTAATAAAAAGATGTCGGGAGACTACGCCCCCCGGCGAGGGTTTCACCCCTTGTTTGCATGAAACCACAGTCGAAGCCCTCTCCCCGCAAAAGCGGACCTCTTGCATTATATTATTACAGATACATGGCAAGATTTAAGCCGGGATAATTGGCCAGAAGGGGCAGAAAAACATCACTTTTTCGGACAGTTGAAAAAAAAAAATTAATATCGATCCTCTATTACTCTTCGTTTAGACGTAATTGACGTTTTAATACAAGAAAAACATCAGAAATGATTTATCCATTGGCAGATGACTCGACGAAATGCTTTGATGTGAAATGAATGACAGGTCTCTTAGTGAAAAACTGAGTTCATGACAGGTCATATTTGCGGCCTTTGACACAAAAAAAAAGTACTTTTACAGACTCATATGTCATGTAAAGTTGAAAACAAACGTCAGGGAAGCTGAAAATTTTTTCTTTTGAGTTTTCAGTGCCCAACTATTACAAAAAATAAAAACAAAGAGAAATATAAAAAAATCTTTTTTTCTGGAACTGTACGTAAAATAGTACTTTTGCGGACTCATCTGTCACGTAAAGTTGAAAACAGTGTCAGGTTAGCTTAAAGAAATGACTCTTCTTGGACGCTGAAAAACATAAAAAATACAAAAAAAATTAGAAGAAAAAAATATCGTTTGTAAAACAGTTCATAAAAAGTACTTTTTCGGAGTTATATGTTATGTAAAGTTCAAAACGAACGTCAGGTGGTCTATTTTTTTGAGTTTTTAATGTGCAACTATTACAAAAAAAACATAAAAGATAAAAAAGATACAAAAAACGTATGTGAAATAAAAAATACTTTCTTTTTTGAAATCTTACGTAAAATAGTACTTTTTCGGACTCATATGTCACGTAAAGTTAAAAACAAATGTGAGATTAGCTAAAAAAAAATATTTTATGAGTCTTCAGCGTCTAACTATTGCCAAAAAACATGAAATATGCAAAAAAAATAGAAGAAAAAATTGACTTTTCTAATATCGTTTGTAAAACAGTCCATAAAAGGTACTTTTTTGGAGTTATATGTCATGTAAAGTTTTAAACGAACGTCAGGTAGTATAATTTGAGTTTTTAGTGTCCAACTATTACGAAAAAAAAACGTATATGAAAGAAAAAATATTTTCTTTTCTGAAATCGAACGTAAAATAGTACTTTTTCGGACTTATATGTCACGTAAAGTTGAAAACAAACGTCAGGCTAGTTAAAAAAATTCTTTTGAGTTTTCATTGCCCAACCATTACAAAAAAAACAAAAAATAAAAACG